CAAGGAAAACATCCAATATCCTAGCCCACCTGGGAATATATGATGTCTTTAGGGAAACACCCCAAAAGGGAACATTCTTAGCTACTTCTGCTTTCTCCCTTCTTGTCTACAGTATGCCAGACTTACTGGGTGAAATCTTTTATGTGTGGTCAGCTTTGCTGGATGGATTGCTTATGTAATCAGAAAGAATAAATACAAGGATTTCTTGTCATTCGGGGCTTCTCTCTTTTAGAGGAGCCCGTCTTTGTTCAGCTGAATAAAAACGTAAAGCTTAAAGGCAACTTCTGGTTTCCTGTATTTTTTTATCAAGCAAAACCTCAGAACCTACATGCTCGTGAGGGCAGCGGGCGAAGAAACCGGCATTCCATGGAGCTTGGGTCACATGACTCAGCAGAAATACCAAGGTGCCCCCTTTCCGTTCCTTCACAATGTATTTTGGGGTATCCAGTCGGCCTGCGGAAGTTGCGTGAGAATCTCTCGCAAGCAACCACTATAACACCAACGCTCCCCCTGCGGGTTGGATGTGGCCCATGAGCCGTAGTTTGGGGACCCCCTGGTCTACGGTCTCCTGCTCGAGCAGGGGGTTAAACTAGACCTCCAAGATCCCTTCTGGCTCTATTCTGATTTATTTTAGGCAGGGTTGGATCACAGGCTGAGCTGAAAAGAGATGGAACCAGGTTGAATGGGGGCAGTGATTGCTAACACCCAAGTGAAGCACACCCTGGCTCAACTGGAACTGTAAAGTTAACCATGGTAACATAGTTCACCAGGATTCCAGCCACCCTGGCAGTGCCCAAAATATCACCCCACAAGCCAGCAAAACCACATCACTGGAGATTTTCAAGAGGAGACTAGACAATCACCTGTCTGAGATATAGGTTCTCCTGCTTGAGCAGGGGGCTGGATTAGAAGACCCTGCAAGGTCCCTTCCAGCTCTATTCTATTCTTTTCTATTCATTATTCTATTCTACTCTAGTTCTATTCTGTTCTAATTCTATTCCATTCATATTATGAGCCCAGCACATTATGCATCACAGGTAGATAAACAGAGGGTTTGTGGGCTGTTTATCACATTTAACCTGGTTATGAATAAACTTCCTCTTTTGCACAAGAACGATGTGTGGTCATTTCCGACTCTTGGAAATTACACAAAGTCTTTTCCTGGAGGAACTTTCCCCCTAACTGGCCCTTTGGGTCTTCCAAGCTGGAATGGGACAATTTGCCGTGGCCATCAGACAATTCCACGCGTGATATAACCACGCCATCCTTACCCCATGACTGTTTCTTCTACATTTCCAGGTTTTTTTTTGTCACTGGAAATAATGTCAAAGAAACAGTGGCAGATAAGAGTGATCATCTCGGGTTACCCCGTGGAATTGTCTGTGGCGAGATGGCCACAGAGAAATGACTGTGGCCAGTTGTCCTCCCTAGACCCCTTCCAAGAGGGTCCCATCCCTCCCCACTGATGCTGGTTCTCTTCCACTTTTTCAAGCATTAAGACTACAATCCATTTAGCAACTGTTTGAAGTTATAGCAGCACCGGAAAAAGTGACTTAGGACCATTTTTCACACTTACAACCATTGCAGCACCCCTAGCCACGTGATGCAAATTCAAACAGCCTGGCAACTGATTCCTATTTATGACGGTCAGTGTCTCCCCGGGGTCACGTGATCCCCTTCTGCGACCTTCTGACAAGGAAAGCCAAGGGGGGGGGGAGCCAGATTCACTGGTAAGAAAGGTTGTCAACTGGGGCAAAATTCAACTGTCTCACTTAGCAACAGGCTCCGTTGTGGCCGTAAGTCAAGGGCTACCTGTATCCTCCAGAGAGCTTAATTTTCTCGCAATGTGTCCAAAAGTAGGATAATTTGAGCCTGGCGATTGGTCCCTCCAGATAAATTGTTTGATAATCCATCGCCCTGCATGCTACATCAACCGATAAGCTAACTAGGTTTGTAGAATGTACTAACCACCCAGCCCGACATGGCTAAAACCAAGTTGTCTCTTTACAATCCAGTTACATAATCCTCTTTGTGCAACACCCGCAGCTAAAACATTCTTGTCCTGCCCCATCAAGACCCCCACCCTGCATTTCAACATTTCTGTTGTCCACGTTTCAGAGCTCCAGGAAATGGGCGACAGATCCACTTCTGGATTCTGTTTCTAGAAACCCTGAATGGTGGGCATTCCAGATTCACGGGACCTCTTGCCTGTATTCTCTGGAGTGACTGCACAGAGCAATTTATAAGCCCCCCTCCCCTTATAGGCATTTCACCACATCAGATTACAGCAGTGATTTTCAAAACTTAGGCAGTTTGGGGATGGATACAGAATAGAGCTGAAAGGGACCTTGGAGGTCTTCTAGTCCAGCCTCCTGCTCAAGCAGGAGACACTAGCTAGACCATTTCAGACACGTGGCTGCCCAGTCTCTTCTTAAAAAACCTCATGGAGCACCCATTCCTGGTGGCAAGCTGTTCCACTGGTTAATTCTGTCAGGAACTTTCTTAGCTGTAGGCTGCTTCTCTCCTTGATTAGATCCCATCCGTTGCTTCTGAATTTACAACACGGCAACAGTTGGAAGGGACCTTGGAAGTCTTCTAGTCCAACCCCCTGCTCAGGCAGGAAACCCTATACCGTTTCAGTCAAGTCGCTGTCGTATCTTCTTAAAAATTTCCAGTGATGGGAAAGCCCACGATTCCTGGAGGCCAGCTGTTCCACTGGGTAATTGTCCTATCAGGAAGTTTCTCCTTAATTCCAGGTCTCTTCTCTTTGGTCAGTTTCCGTCCATTGTTTCTTGTCCTGCCCTCTGGTGGCTTTGAAAAATAGGTTGACCCCCCCCCCCACGGAATTCTGTGAGTTGAAGTCCACCCATCTCCAAGATGCCGAGGTCGACAAACATTGAATTGTATCAAGCACGATCCTGTTATTTGGCCTCCTCAATCCCAAATACCAGCATATGGAAGAAACTAAGCCACTGCATAGCAGTTTCCCAGTTGATTTAACCTGGTTTAATTTCATTTGTGGTCCCTGGGCAACCTAGAATACCAACAAAGGAGAATCATTTATAGCTCAGGGTTGAAATGAGGGCTCCTTGGTGGTCTCTCGAGTTTGCTTGTTTTCTTGCAGACATTTCACGACCCCAACTAGGTAACATTATCAGTACTAGCGCTAACCTAGAATAGCCACGGAAAAATATTGCAAAACAGATCACCATTCCTGGTCTTTCTCCGTCAACCCATCGCCATTTGGGATGAAGGATCGGCCCACCTCTTCAAGAGCCATGTATCCATGGAATTAAGACACTTACCCATGGCTTGTTTCCAAATGACCCCCTCCTTTCCTGTCTCTTACGTCACGCTAAGCCCCCCCTCCCACCCTAGAAGGGCATAAGCCACCGCTGTGAATGGATCCCACAAGCCATGCTTTAACAAACCACGATTTCAAGCAGATTCTGATTGCGGTTCACAGGGGAAGAGGCAGGGTGGTCAATCTCCCTGGCCTGCGTTTTTCTGGATTCCTGCGCTGAGCAGGGGTTGGACTGGATGGCCTTAAGGGGCCCCTTCCATGAAGAGCGAGCTTAGCTACTGCAAGGCACTTCCCAAAACCTGTGGACTTAAAAAAAACAAACACCCCATCTTTTCACCAAGACCCTTTCAAATTCCCCCTTTTTTCCCAAAAGAGGGTGTATGCAACTCATCAAATTTTGGCTTCCTGCATCGCTCCTTTTTAAAAACCAAAAGTCTTTTATTAAAAGTCTTATTCAAATTTCATAACAAAAAGGAGATATATATAAAAGAGGGCCCAAATTTCCAAAGGCGGGGGTGGGGGATGAGGAATGGAGATGTTATTTATGGCATGGGTCCTCAACCGTGGCCACTTTTAAGACTTGTGGACCTCAACTCCCAGAATTCCTCAGCCAGCTGGCTGAGGAATTCTGGGAGTTGAAGTCCACAAGTCTTAAAAGTGGCCACGGTTGAGGACCCCTGATTTATGGGGTTAGTTTGAACCAAATCTGGGCTGACTTTGTAAACTGGGGCGAAGACCACCCAACGGCCAGGAACGGGGAAAGAGAGGGAACGTTCTAACAGCAGCTCCGAACTTGGGAGGCGTGTTTTATTGTTGTTTGTGTTCCCTAGCCAGGTTTGTACGGAACTGTACCACAAAACACTGCAGAATTCTCTTTAAAAACACTGCAGAATTCTCTTAAAAACAAAAAAAAACTTGTAATTTTTTCTTTTAAAAAAGGGAGACGCAACCTCTTTTCTGTCGCTTTTGCTAGCTTGTGGTGCAGAAACCCCGTTTCGAGTGGGGGGGGTTCCCACACCTGTGCCAGCTTCCTGTCGTGGGACCGGCAATGGGGACCAATGCCCCATACATCTGGAACATGCCTGTATTTGGGGGGGGGGGCACAGTTGAACTCAAGAGAACCAGCCATCTGGGCTCTGGACGGCCACCGATCAACGAGGAACAAATCGCCGAAGCAGACAAATTAAAACGGAACATTGCAGTCGGCAAGCCCAGAATCCAGTCATCACACTTTGAGCAGCAGCAGCGCCGCAGAGCCATGCTGAGGAGGGCCCCGCATCCGGAACTCATGCCAGGGGCCACAGCTCCACCAGGCACCCCCTGCTCGGCCTCGTTCCCAGAAGGGTGCATCTTTGTTGTCCATCCCCCCCCCTCGGCAGAGTGGGAGGGGCCACGGCTGACAACCCCCCCCCCCAGGAATCGCATCTGGAATCAAGGGTGGCCGAGGAGGGAGGGGGGGTGGCAAAGCGAGGATGGGTGGGGGAAGAGAGGAACCCCAATTGCTTGCAGGTTCAATCAAACCTGCCCTTGCATTGGTAAGCCTTTGGTCGCAAATACCTCCTATATCCGGGGGTGGGTGGGGGGAGGAAAGAGGGGGCGCAGTGCGAGGGGGAAGAGAAAGCTAACTCCAAAAAAAAAAAAATTTATCCAACTTCTCCTGAAACACCTACCCCTTTTTCTACATCTTAAAAAAATATATACTGTGGGGGTGTCACGGCCGTACAAAAGAGCGGAGAGCCGGCGGCAGAAGAGGGGAAGGGGATTCGTCACAGTCTCACAAAGGGGAGGGGGCGGTTAAGGCCGGGAAAGTCACAACAGTCCGCCAAAAACACGGATTGGCTTGCAAAAGGAGCCGAAGAGGAGGACGGACGGACTCAATCGTCATTGTCTTCATCCTCGTCTTCGTAGGGATCCTCCTCGGGATCTCGTTTCCGCTTCTCGCCCTGCTGGACCTCTGCAAGAAAAAGGAGACCAAGGTGAGGTGGAAAACCGGCGTCTTATCCCCGCTTCCTCTCTCATCCCGGCAAAGAAGGGGCGCCAGGAGAGTCACACCCGTGACTGCTGGACAGGGAGCCGTACTAGAGGACGAGGTGGGACTGAGATCGGCGTTCAGACCGAATCCAACCACTGTAATGGCTGGCTGAGGAATTCTGAGAGTTGAAGTCCATAGGTCATAAAGTGGCCAAGGTTAGGGACCTCTGGTCTAGATGATCTCCAAAGGACCTCCCAACTCAACCAGAGACCTGATTCTCAGTCGCCGAAGTCAGAACAATATACTCACCAGCTTCTTCATCCTCATCCTCATCCTCGTCGCCGTCATCCTCGTCATCATCATCCTGAAGGAGAAAGGGACATTTTTGTAAAAAAAAAAAAAAAAGTTGAGGATTACCTGTAATTCCACCTGGTGGAATTCTTGTACTAGAGAATTGCTAAAAAGAACTCTGCAAATCTCAGCTTTGGGAAAAATCTAAACCATGCTTGGCAATTGACTCACGTTTATGATGGTGGCAATGTCCCGGGGTCCCGTGACCCCCTTTTGTGACCTTCTGACAAGCAAAGGCATTAAGAGAAGCCAGATTCACTTTAACAACCATTTGCTAACTTAACGGCAGCAGCGATCCACTTCATAATTTAGATTTTCCCCAAAGCTGAGATTCACAGAGTTCTTTTTTAACAAGATTTGTTACGATAAAAAAAAAAAAAAAAAAGCCGGTGTATCCTTCACAGTGGAGGCTTTGTGCAGAATATGGGATGTTAGACTTACTTCATCGTCGCCCCCATTCTCCTCTTCCTCGCCGTCCAGGTCATCTTCGTCATCTAATTCTTCGTCTTCCTCCTCCTCCTCTTCCTCCTCATCTTCTACAAGCAAGAGACACCCCCGGCATCAGAGACGAGTTCGCCACCACAGGCAGTCCTCGGCTTACAACAGCTCATTCAGTGACCGTTTGAGATTACAACGGCACTGAAAAAAGTGACTGTTTTTCACACTTACAGCCGTTGAAGGATCACCACCATCAAAATTCAGACGCTTGGCAATTGACTCACATTTATGACGGGGGCAACGTCCCACCGTCACATGAACTCCAAGTCAATGGGGGAAGCCAGATTCCTTTTAACAACCATGTTGCTAACTTAAAAGCAGCAATGATTCACTTAACAACTGTGGCAAGGAAGGTTAAACAATGGGGCCAAGCTCAAATGTCTCACTTAGCAACGGAGATCTGGGGTTCAATTGTGCTTGTGCGTCGAGGACTACCTGCACACCTCCATGAACTGAGAGCTCAGCCGATTCCTAGAATCAGGTTCCTGTGCTAGGGGAGTCGGTGAACTCCTAGTTACCCTGGAGGGCAAAGATCAGACGGGATCCCTAGAAATCTTCTGCTCTTCGCCAGGCAGGGTGCAGCCCTAAGTTACCCCGTCCTCCGTATGAAAAGGATTCCGGTCCAGGGGTCTCCCAACTTGGCAATTTTAAGACTTGTGGACTTCAACTCCCAGAATTTCTCACCCACCTATGATGAACGGGGAATTCTGGGAGTTGAAGTCCGCAAGTCTTAAAAGTTGCCAAGATTGGACAGCCCTGTTCTAGACCTCAAGGTAGCGAAAAAGGGACAATTTAAGCCAACACGGGAGAAGCTTTAGACATGTTTGCTAATGGTAGGGAACACAAAACCACATGGGAATTCATCGCAGGCCTTTTCCGTGACCCCAGAGTCTGCCCTCCCCCCAAATAACAGCAGAGCCATTCAACCTCTCAAGGTTTCGAAAAGGCTTAATATGGCCTTGAAGAGACAAACAATCTTCTAATGTAGGGGTCCCCAACCTGTGGGCCACGGCCCACTACTGGGCTGCAGGCTACCGGGCCACGTGAGTGGCTGGCTGATGTGCACATGTATGCCTGCATGCAGAGCCCCACTCGCGCAACGGGTGTTCGTGCACACACCTTCCTCCTCCCCGCTCTGGGCCAACCCCCGCTCTGGGCCACCCGCTCTCTGAGATAGAGAAGTCAAGATGGCAGCTACAGCCGCGAGATCGGAGTCCCACTACTCACCGTCTCCGTTCTCGTCGTACTCATCGTCCAGCCCATCGGCTTCCGGGTCCGAATCAGGGGCTTCTTTTTCGCTGGCGTCAAACCCATCGAGATAGATCAGCTGAGGCAGGAGGGTGAAGATGCTCTCCCGGTAGTTCATCAGCGTCGTCACCTCGCAATTGAAGAGGTCGAGGTTCCGAAGGTGGGGCAGCTTTTTCTGCAGCGGGAGGGGAGAAGGTGGCCCGATTCAGGGGGGGGGATGTCTGGCTCCTCCCCTTCCCCCAGGCACACAGCAGCTGGATCCATCCCCTCCCCAATGCACACAATTGTTGCTACAATAAATTTCTCTCCATCTTAAGGTGTGGGGGGGGGGAGGAGACTTTTATGACTTGTGGACTTCGAATCCCAGAATTCCTGGCTGAGTGAGGAATTCTGGGAGTTGAAGTCCGCAAGTCAAAAAGGGACATGGTTCCCCATGCTGGCTGAGGGATTCTGGGAGTTGAAGTCCTCAAGTCGTAAAGGGTCGTAGATCTCCACCCGACCTAGATCCAGTTTCAAATCCATATTTTTCTGAATCTGGTAACCTTCTACAGACGCAGGATTTAAAAAAAAACTCACCAGCTACAGGTAGTCCTTGACTTACAACAGTTCATTTAGTGACCAAAGTTACTACAAGGGCACTGGGAAAAGTGAACTTATGACCGTTTTTTACACTTACGACCGTTGCTGCATCCACATGGTCACGTGATCAAAACCCGGGAGGTTGGCCTTTATTTATGACAGCTGCACTGTCCCGGGGTCACGTGACCACGGTCAGCCGGCTTCTGACAAAGCAAAGTGAATGGAGGAAGCCAGATTCATTTAACAACTGTACCACTAAATTAACAACTGCAGTGGTTCACCTAATGACTGGCGCAAGAAAGGTCGTAAAAGGGAGCAAAACCCGCACTATCAAATGTTTCACTTAAGAGCAGAAATTCTGGGCCCGATTGAGGTCGTTGAGGACTACCTGTAATCCCAGGCAAACTCCAAGAAGCCCCCCTCCCCCGCCAAAGTTTGGATGTCTTTACACACACACACACAGGCAAAATCCCTCACTGGCCCTTCGGGCAAACTCACCAGAGGTTCCAGCGTGTTGATCTCTTTGATTTTATTCCCGCTGAGGTTCAACTGCGTCAAATTTGGTGTTTTTTCCGCTAGGACTTCCAGCCCGCCCGAAATACGATTGTCGCTCAGCTCCAGCTGCCGAAAAGAAAACAAACATGGCTCCAGATACGCCGGAACAAAAACACAAAGAGACAACCGGTCGCTCTCTCTCTCTCTCTCTCTCCTTGTGTGTGGATTGTGCCACATGGCCATTTCCCCCCCCACCCACCCAGAGAATGCCCACCAACCCTACAAAGACCCGTCAGGAGGCTTTTAAGAAGAGACCGGACAGTCACTTGTCCAAAATAGTATAGGTTCTCCTGCTTGAGCAGGGGGCTGGACTAGAAGACCTCCAAGGTCCCGTCCAGCTCTATTCTATTCTAAAGCCGAATTGGGGCCCTTCTGCTTAGCGAAACAGAAAAGGGCAAACGGGGAAACTGAGGCAGCATGTTCAACATACTGATTTATTAGGCAACTCTGCTAATCCTTCAACCCTCCCAGATTCTAGGCTGTGGGCTATAAAAACAACAGCTTCAGGTTTCGGATGACTAAGACCCATCCTAATAAAAATACATTTCCGTGGTGCAAAAATGCCACCAGCCAAACCAGATGGGACCGAAAGACGAGGCAGGTTTGAGGCAAGCTTCAGCGTGAGAGGCTGCCCCCCCCAATAGAAATACTGCTCCTAAAGCTGGGCAGCTACGGAAACTGAATAAATAAAATAATGAAACGGAATAAAATAAGGCAAAATATAAAAAGTAAAAAACGCATAATAAAATATTTAAAAATATATATAAACTAAAGAAAATATGAAAAGTAAAAATGCATAATAAATTAAAATATAAGCAAACAAAATATGAAATAAAAAATGAAAAATAAAAATATAATAAAATTAAATACAGTATATCAATAACATCTGAAAAATAAAAACATAATTAAAATATAAATATATTTAAATAAAAAATGAAAAATAAAAATATAATAAAATTAAATACAGTATATCAATAACATCTGAAAAATAAAAACATAATTGAAATATAAATATATTTAAATAAAAAATGAAATAAAATATGAAAAATAAAAACACAATAAAATTAAATACAGTATATCAATAACATCTGAAAAATAAAAACATAATTGAAATATAAACATGTTTAAATAAAAAAATGAAATAAAATATGAAAAATAAAAATATATAACAAAACTAAATAAAATATAAAACAAAATAAAAACGTGGGGCTAATGGAGAAGACAAAGGCAAACAAAAAATCAGGGTAGATTTTTGTTTACAGGGCATGTTAGGGCCAAGTGCAGGTGGGGGGAGAGGTCAGAAGAGTCAAAATGGAGGCTGCCACCACCCAACTGAAGCCTCCCCCCTGCATCTTGGCAAAAGGAATGATCAAGAGCAACCGTTTTCCCAGTCTTGGGGGACTTTAAGAGGTGTGGACTTCAACTCCCAGAATTCCCCAGCCAGCCATGCTACCCCATGCTGGCTAGGGAATTCTGGGAGTTGAAGTCCACATGCCTTAAGGTCCCCAAAGATTGGGAAAACACTGGTTTAGAGTGAACAGCTCACTGCAAAGTACAGAAGCTGAAACGGCCAAGCTCCGATCCCCCTCAACACAAAGACACACACACACACACACACAAAGGTTTTGGGAGCTCCAGGTGCTCACCTTCCGGAGTTTGTTAAGCTTGGGAAGGTTAGAGATGGAGAGAAGGTTGATATTGATCATGCTGAGGAATTCCAGGTTTTCGAAGTCCGGGGAGAGCCCGCTTATCTTGCCATCGTCCGAGCGGCAGTTGTCCAGCACCAGCTCCTTCACCTACGAAAGGAAGACGCAGCCACGCTGGCATTCAAATTCGGGCTCCCAGAACCCCACTGGGCACAGCTTAGGAATTCCGGGGTGTGAGGTCTCACCTATCAGGGGGTGGGATTCAAGGCAGGTCCCTCAAACCTCCCAGAACTCCGACAGCCCTATGGGTACCTTTAACGGTACAGGAAGTCTCCAACTTACAACAGTTTGTTTAGTGACCGTTCAAAGTTACAACAGCACTGAAACAACACTTACAACCATTGCCGCACCAATGGTCACATGATCAAAATTCAGACAGTTGGCAACTGGCATGTACTTGTGACGGTTGCAGTGTCCCAGGATCCCCTTTTGCAACCTCCTGACAAGAAAAGTCAATGGGGAAGCCAGATTCACTTAACAACCGTATTACCAACTTAACAACTGCAGGGATTCACTTAATAACGATGGCAAGAAAGGTTGTAAAATGGGGCAAAACTCACTTAATCACTGTCTCAATTGTGGTCGTTAAGTTGAGGACTACTTGTACAGGCAGGCCTTGACTTACAGCCATTCATTTAGCAACTAAAGTTATAGCAGTACAGCACCCCCATGGACGTGCGATCAAAATTCAGGCACTTGTCACAACCGACACATACTTATGACGGTTTCAGCACCCCAATAAGGTCACCTGACCATCATTTGCAACCTTCCCGCTAGCAAAGTCAATTGGGGGGGGGGAGAGGATCCGCTTAACAAGTCACTTAACTGTAATGATTCACTTAACAACTATGGCAAAGCAGGTCACAAAATCAGGCACAACGGACTTCACTGCCTTGCTTAGCAGCAGAAATCCTGGTCCCAATTGTGGTTGTTAAGTTGAGGACTGCCTGTACTGTCTTGATGCCGGTACTGCTAAGGCTAGGAGCAAGCAGCAAACTGGGGGTTCCTGGCATTTCCAGGAGGAGCTGCGACCCGCAGTTTCCAGGTGGCTGAAGAGCATCCAAGTTGGGGAAGGTGCCTTTGAGAAGAACTTGGGGCCATTTTCCGTGTCTGTCTGCAGGAAGCCCACCTCGGTGGGGACAGGAATAAACAGGGGCTTCTAGGAAGGTCAATTAGTGGCGGTCCCCAACCTTTACAACTTGGTGGCCCAGGGAAGAACCAGCCCACTGCTTGTGTAAGTCGGGCATGCATGAGCTGGCAAAGCCATTTGTGTGGCCCAATTCCGAATGGGCCACAGCCCGGGAGTGAGCTGCAGCCCAGGGGTTGGGGACCTCTGAACTAGAAGATGGTTCAAAGGGGGGACAGACTGAGAAGGCAGAAAAAATTCACGAGGGATCTTCAGCCTCACGTCAACAGGTGGGCCAAGGGCAGGAGGGAAATCAGATCCTAACAGATCTCTTCAGCCCCCAAATTCTTTAAGATCCAGTCAGCACTCGTAACTACAAATGTGACACTATTGAAACAACCACCCATCTTTTACGGTGTGCCCTCTGGGATCGGATAAATGCACACAGAATAACTTGCTGGTCCAAAATACCTCCACCAGCGCTGGGCAAGAACTGTATGAATGTATCGTTATATTGAAGTTTTTTATTTTTTTTAAATTCAATTGTCCCCTTTCTAGTTCCTGCATTTCTGACATGAGATGTGTCATGGAATTGTGTGGCAGGTGTCCAAATGAAGTCAGAGATGCCAACACAAACTTGTAGTTTTATATTTAACATAAAACTATATTTAACATAAATATATTTAACATGTATAATCACTGCAGACAAGATAGTCGGGAACACAGGAGCATTGTGAGGTAAATCAAAAAGAATACAGAGCACACAGAAGAAAAAGGGGGGGGGAGAAGGGAAACTCCCCCCCCTTTTCACCCACAGCAACCAATCACAGCATAGACTGCCTCATGCATGAGCTGACAAGGTAGTCAGGAACACAGGAACATCGTGAGGTAAATCAAAAAGTATACAGAGCACATAGAAGAAAAAGGCGGGAAAAAAGGGAAACTCCCCTTTATACTTACAGCAACCAATCACAGTGTAGATTACCTCATGCATGAGTCAGCACTCTCCAACCAATCAGCTACAACCCACTGTACACTTTACTGTTCCAGCTACTAAAATGAATATCCTAACAAGATGAGGCGAGCCCCCTCACTGAGCAGGCTCACATATGCCGTTTAAGAAGGCGCTAAGAGCTAAGCTTACCCTGCAGGCTTGTTGTGGGGCCTTTGCCGAGACATGCAACTGGCCCCCAGTTTGAAACAGCAACTGCCTGTGCAAAAGGAAGTCGATCTCCACCAGGTGCCCCAAACTGTGGCCTTTGCAAAGGAAGCTGGCTGGCAGACACACACACACACATTTCAACCAGCTGTGCCACACACCAGTGGGAGTCCAGGACACATGGATCACAACTCAGGAAGCCTGTATGTGTGTGCACATGTACACACTTTGGTGTGGTGTGGTTCCGAGAAGCAGGAAGGAAAAAGTTTTTTTTTTAAAAAAGAAAAAACAGCTCTTCTTTCTGCAGCCCTGCAGCAAATATTTTGGAGTGTACAGACAGCAATCCAAACATGCTTAGTTTGAACCATGGTTAAATTTCCATGCATGAATCCCTCCTATCAAATTAGCTACAGTTCTCGGCTTGCAACCGTTCGTTTAGTGACCAAACAGCACTGAAAAGTGACATGACTATTTTTCACACAACCGTTGCAGCATTCTGACAATCACGTGATCAAAATTCAGACCCCCAGCAGCTGGTTTGTGTTTTATGACGATAGCAATGTCCTAGGGTCCTGTGATCCCCTTTTGTGATCCTCCGACAAGCAAAATCAACGGGGAAGCCAGATTCCCCAAACAATTTCAGTGATCCCATTTAACGACTGTGGCAAGAAAGGTCATAAAATGGGACAAAAACGCACTTGAACAACTGCCTTGCTTAGGAACAGAAATTCTGGGCTCAACTGTGGCCATAAGTCAGAGACTACTTATAGCTCCATGTCTTGGACGAAGCGAAAAATAGGAATAAATCCGTTAACTGTGTTAAGTATGCTGTGTGAAGGGATCGCCCCAAGGCAGACCCAGACTGGACAGACTGACCAAGGGCCCTTGGCAATCCCCTTGATTCATCAATGTTCGGAACCATGAGGGCTAGCATCTTGCTTCTTTGAGCACTCAGCTGCAATGCACCATCTTGAGTTCCTGGATCCCGTGCAAAGCTGGGGGAAGCTTGCTCATAGACAGGCGTATACCCACGCCCTGCCAGCAACCGGCTTTTCAAGCTGCCTGACCCCAGAGGCCTTGGACTGGCTCCACGTAGGCCAGGCCCGTCTTCCTGAAAGTGCCCGAGCTTGGCGCTGCCTGGAGCAGCTGCGTGGCACAAGCCCAGCCTGATCTCATGCAGAGTCTGGCAGCACAGCAGCAATGCAGCCCAACCGGCCGTGCCAGCAACCGCATTCCCTCGGTGTGCCTGACCCTGCAGTTTCTCCTCTCTGCGCAGGCGAAGCTCACAGGGGGCCGTGCCTGGATGTGGGTTGTGCCATGTGCCCAGCAGGCCTGGATGGGCTCCCCACAGGAGCTGGGCAACCTCACAAAGGAAAGGGAAGGATTCTCACGATCGGATTTGATTCCTGGGCAATGACGTTTTGTTCCAACCTTCATTTAGGGCAGGGGTAGTCAACCTTGGCTCTTTTATGACTCGTGGACTTCAACTCCCAGAATTCCTGAGCCAGCACAGCTGGCTCAGGAATTCTGGGAGTTGAAGTCCACGAGTCATAAAAGAGCCACGGTTGACTACTCCTGATTTAGGGGAAAGATGAGGCATGAAAACAATGGGACTTACAGCAAAACCCCAGCAGGCCAAGCCCAGACAGACAGTCCTCAACTTACATTTAGTGACCGTTCAAAGTTACAACGGCACTGAAAAAAAGTGACTTATGACCATTTCCCCACAGGTGTAGCATCCCTATCAAAGTTCAGATGCCTGGCAACTGACAAAGGTATAAGTACGGATTGGGCGAGACCTGACTTAAAAACAGTAACTGTGAGAGGGACCTCGGAGTCCTACTGACCATGAGCCAGCCAAAAATGCTAACACAATCCTGGGTTGTATAAACAGAGGCATAGAATCAAGATCATGCAAAGTATTAGTACTGCTTTATAAAACCCTAGTGAGGCCACATCTGGAATACTGCAGCCGATTTTGGTCACTATTATCACAAAAAAGATGTTGAGAGTTTGGAAAAAGTTCAGAGAAGAGCAACGAAGATGATCCATGGCCTGGAGGCTAAAACATACAAAGAACGGCTGCGGGACTTGGGTTTGGCTAGTCTAAAGAAAAGAAGAAATAGAGGAGACAGGATAGCAGTATTCCAGTATTTGAGGGGCTTCTACAAAGAAGAGGGGGTCACATTATTCACCAAAACACCTGAAGGCAGGACAAGAAACAATGATTGGAAACTGACCAAAGAGAGAAGCAAACCTGGAATTAAGGAGAAACTTCCTGACAGTGAGGACAATTAACCAGTGGAACAGAAGTTGCCTCCAGAAATCGTGGGTGCTCCATCACTGGAGGTTTTTAAGAAGAGACTGGACAGTCACTTGTCTGAGATGGTATAGGTTCTCCTGCTTGAGCAGGGGGCTGGACTAGAAGACCTCCAAGGTCCCTTCCAACTCTATTATCCTATTCTATTCTACTATTCTATTATTTATAGTCTATTCTGCTCTATTCTATGATGGTCACAGTAATCACGTGGTCCCCTTTTGCGATCACCTGACAAGCAAAGTCCATCAGGAAAGCCACTTCACAACCTGTTTACTAACATAACCTCTGTAATATGCACTCAACAACTATTGCAAAAAAGGTCATAACATGGGAGAAAACCCAACTGACTCAATTAGCAACAGAAATTTTGGGTTGTAAGTTGCAGTATTGGTACCTAGATTTATAAAAAATAAATAAATCAGGAGGCATCCAGTCCGACTCACACAACTGTTAAAAAGACTCACACAACTGTTAAAAAGCAAACA